ACATATGTCATATATATTACATATATATATTTGTAATCTCTGCGTTCTCGACAATATCGTGTCTTTCCAACATAGCCCACCTGTGCATCTCAATCACAATCCCATTTTCCTTGACTCCTCCTGGAGAGCCAAACCTTGCTAATGGCTTGGGGTCCACTGAGCTCATCAACTCCTTTTCTTCCTTCCAGTACTGGTCAAGCCTAATTTTGTTCAAATGAACACTTGACAGATTTTCCTCCTGTTTCATCACGCTGTTACACATTTGCACATGCGCGTGTGGGTGGTACTCCAGGTGCTCGTAAACTACCACACGGGTACACACATACATGTACCCAAGCCCTTGAATCATCATGCATGGAGTCGCACACCCAAGCATGCTTCCACATGCTCCCACACGCATGCACACGCTCTGGTGGACGCCCCTGGGTGCATCAGGACAGCATAGCAAACAACCTTCCTTAGCAAAAAAAAAAAAAAAAAAAGAACCAGCAATGACGGGTTGTCAAACTTCTACTTGCTTTCACAGGCTCCCTGCCTCGGCCCACCCCCTCTCCCACTTCACATACTCCTCCCCAGTCTCCCTCACCCCCACCACTGCCTTCCGGGGCCCTTCCCCAGCCCCTCACCTGCCCAGGCTTCCAATAGCAAAAACAAGAACATCCAGGTCAGGACTGCACCAGATGGGGGCCGCCCCATCGTGAGGTCTGAGAGGGGGAAAAGGTAGAATTGAGACGAGAGTGGGAAGGAGTTCAACATCCCAGGATTTGAGGATTAGGAGGGAGCTAAGGTCCCGGAGAAGGAAGAGTAAGGGATACCCAGTTTATCTGAAGGTTAATGACTGAGAGATAGGCTTTCAGGGTGGCTAGGAAGAAGGGAGGGGCCCTAAACTTGGATCCAAGAAGGTAGGGTAGGATTGGGGTGCCAGATCTCTAAATCTTGAAGAGGAGGGCCTAGAGACCTAGATTCTTGGTTCTGGGGGAGGAAGGGGCTAGGGATCCTGTTTCCTGGGTCTGGCTGGGAAGGCTGGGGTCCTGATGCCGGTGTCTAAGTACCTTTGCATCTCACCTCACGGAATCCAGGGGGCGGGGTCACCTACTGACTCGGACCCAGCAGGCGAGGCCCCAGGACTTCAGTTCTGTTTGACAAGTACCCAGTTCTGGAGCCTTTTAACTGAGAATCCCCGCCTCCCGCTCCGCCTTTCGGCCTCCGAGCTGGTGGAGCATTGGAGCCTTAATCCTGAGTCTTGAGAAGGACCAGGGGGCTGCAGAAGCCATCCCAAGTCCCTTCTCTGAGAGACTTGAGTCTCAAACTTGAGAGGCAGCCCCGAAGGCAGAAACGCCCAGGTCTGAAGGAGGAGGGACTAGGGGCCTGGACTCCCTGATGTGAGGGAGGAAGGGGTTGTGAGGGAGGAGGGACTCTGGTCTGAGGCCGGAGGGACTGGGGGTCAGGATTCCTGGGTCTGAGGGGAGGAGGGACTGAGGAAGGAGAGAGCTGACGATCAGGACTCTGGGGCTCTGAGGATCAGGTCTGGGGGTCTGAACTCCCCGATCTGAGGAAAGAGGGTGTTGAGGCAGAGACTCCTTCCTGAGTCTAAGGGAGGAAGGGCTGGAGCCGGACAGGGACTGCTTCTAAGGGATGCGGAGAGTTGGTGCCTGGACTCCTGGGTCTGAGGGAGGAGCATCTGGGACCTGGACTCCTGGGTCTAAGAGAGGAGGAACTCGGGCCTAGACTCCTGGTCTGAGTGAAGAGAGCCTGGGGGCTGGAAAGGGATGGACAACCAGTGATTTAACGGTGGAGAGACTGTAGGTCCGGACTGGGTGTGGGGGGGGGGCATGTCTGAGGGAGGAGGGGACAATGAGTCCCCTGGGTCTAAGGGAAGAGTTGGGTAGAGAGGTAATCCAGATGAGAGAAAAAAAGGAGAATCGTTTTGGTCCAGAGACCAGAGGCGGATCAGCTTGGCCTCCTGCCCCCCCTGAGAGGTCAGGGATCCGGGAAGGCAGGTTTGGGAGGGAACCTGACCTGGTTTCCCCTTTCCCTGGGGGTGGCGGGGCCAACCCAAGCTCAACCCAGGAGCTTTGCTGCAATACCCAAGGAGACAGACTAGAGGCAGAAACTCTCTAGGGTCTCAAGGATTATTATTATTGAAAGGCGCAGCCCTTCCCTTCAGTGCTCACCAATCGCCCTCCCTTCACCCCACAGCGCAGACAGAAGGCGCGGCTCCTTGCTTTTATTGCAAAATAAAATAAAGTCACTGGATCTGCAGACACCAACCCCTAAAAACTTGCCCCATCGCATCCCCGCCGGGATTCAAATCCAGGCCGCGCCCAGGGCGGGACCGCGGGGGGCGGAGTTAGTTGTTATCCTAGTTCCAAATGGGCGTGGCCACATCGCCACTGCCGCCCGGGGGCGGGGTTTCTGCTCAAAGAGGGCGGGGCCACCGGGGGTGGAGCCCAGAAGGGGGAACCCATTGGGCACAGCTCCAGGGGGCGGAGCCTTGTTTCATTGAGGTGGTTCCCGCTGTCTGTGACATCACACAGATGAAGCCACGTGGGGCAGAGGCTTGGCTGTATCCCTGGGTGGTCGAGGGGAGCGCAGTCATCGCTGCTGCAGGTCACAGGCTCGAGACTAGCCGAGGATGAAGACGTGCAGTTTTCCTGATGTTAGCTTCCAGAGTCCTCTCTTGGTCTATCAAGGCCAGGGCTCAGTTTTCCTTCATGATCTTTCGGATCCAGGGCAAGTATTTGCATACACTGGTATAGACGGCCGGCCGCCTGGGCATGGAGCAGGGCTCTGCGCCCCCAGACACCACTCCAGCCAGGGTCCCGTTGCAAATGAGGGGACCCCCAGAGTCACCCTGTGGGTGGAATAGGAACAAGGAAAAGTTAGACAGATCTAAATCATGACCTTTACAATGACCATTGTCTCAGAAAGACCTTCAGTTCACACACACTCCCTCTTCGGAGAGTCCCCGTCTCTTCCTTTGTCAGACTCTGGAACCCAAGCTCCATCCTCATCTTCCTCAGTCCCAGAAGTCTGAACCACTCCCCAAGTCTCCTGTCCCAGGAGTCTGAGCTCCCAGTGCACCCTCCTTTTGGACAGAAGTCTAAACTCCCTGGTTAGTTTGACCCAGGAAGTTTGGGGCCTGTTATGAGGGTTTGTTTTTTTAAAAAAAAAAGTAATTTAAAAATTCAAAGGTGAAAGTCTTGAGTTAAGGAGCCTAAAATCTGGGGTTGAAACCACTCTAATAAGGCTTTTTATTCTTTCTGCTTATTAAGAAAATATGTATGACTAAGCATTAGGTGTTTGTAACTGATGTAACTGAATGAAAACACATTTTAGAAATCTATAGTAGTACACAA